AGCAGTGGGATGCATTGGGAGCAGTGGGATGCATGGGGAACAGAGGGATGCATGGGGCATGGTGGAATGCATGGGATGTAGTGGGATGTATGGGGAACAGTGGGATGCATGGGGAACAGAGGGATGCATGGGTCATGGTGGGATGCATTGGGAGCAGTGAGATGCATGGGGAACAGAGGGATGCATGGGGCATGGCCTAGTACATGCTATGGGGCATGGTGTGGGGCATGGCACAGGACATGGCCATGATTCCCTGCCCAGTGCATGGTGCTCAATGGCTGCATGGCACAACACATGGTGCACGGTGCATCACCATAGGGCACACGTAGGGTGCACGGCCCAAAGCATGGCCCAGGGGGCTCCATGCACTGAACCTGCACACACCAGCACCCACGGCACAGGGGGCAGGCACCCATGGGTGCCATGAACTCACCGGGGTCCCTCCTGTTGCCCGCTGGGTGCACATTGAAGCTCTCAGCCATGGAGCTCCCCATCCGGTTCCTGCTCCTGCACGAGGCCTGGTGGCACATGGGGGTCAGGCAACAGCACCCATGGGTGCCCCCCAGCACCCAAAGGACCCCAGCACAAGCCCCTGGGTGCCCCCATGTCCTCACCTCCTCGTCCCGGCCCACCAGCACCAAGTGTCCGTCCACCAGTGAGAAGTGGGAGACGTCCCACACGGGGCCATTGGGTGCTGGAGCCAGCAGGGCTGGTGATGTCCCATGGGTGCTCACTGCAGGGGGACATTGGGTGCTCACCATGGCGCTGTCACCCATGGGCAGTGTGGTGGTGCCAGGGGACACGAGGCCATGGAGGTACCACCGCTCGTCACTCACTGCATCCCAGAGCATCACCCGTATCCATGGCCCGCCAGCCACCAGCAGCCAACCCATCACCCATCACCCCCAATATCATCATCACCCACTTCCATCACCCCTGATCCACCACCCATCATCACCACCCATAACCCCTGATCCATCACCCATCATCCCTAATCCATCACCCATTATCGTCACCCACCACCCTTAATCCATCACCCATTATTATCACCCACCACCCTTAATCCACCACCCATCATAATCACCTATCACCCTTAATCCATCACCCATTATTATCACCCACCACCCTTAATCCATCACCCATCATCATCACCCACCACCCTTAATCCATCATCCATCATCTTCACCCCTCCATCACCCCTAATCCATCACCCCACACCCCTAATCCATCACCCCACACCCCTAATCCATCACCCATCATCCTCACCCATAACCCCAGTCCATCACCCATCACCACCCACCACCCCTAATCCATCACCTCTCATCATTACCCATAACCCCAATCCATCACCCATCATCACCACCCATAACCCATGAACCACCACCCATCATCACCCATCACCCCTAATCCATTACCCATCATCATCACCCATCACCCCTAATCCATCACCCATCATCATCACCCATCACCCCTAATCCACACCCATCACCCCTAATCAATCACCCCTAATCCATCACACATTATCCTCACCCATAACCCCAGTCCATCACCCATCACCACCCACCACCCCTAATCCATCACCTCTCATCATCACCCCTAACCCCAATCCATCACCCATCATCACCACCCATAACCCCTGATCCACCACCCATCATCACCCATCACCCCTAATCCATTACCCATCATCCTCACCCATCACCCCTAAACCATCACCCCTCACCCCTAATCCATCACCCCCTAATCCATCACCCATCATCCTCACCCATAACCCCAATCCATCACACATCATCATCACCTATCACCCCTAATCCATCACCCATCACCCCTAATCAATCACCCCTAATCCATCACCATCATCACCACTCCTCACCCCTAATCCATCACCCCACACCCCTAATCCATCACCCTTAATCCATCACCCATCATCCTCACCCATAACCCCAATCTATCACCCATCATCCCCCATCACCCCTAATCCATCACCCATCATCCTCACCCATCACCCCTAATCCATCACCCCTAATCCATCACCCATCATCACCACCCATCACCCCAATCCATCCCCATCCCCATCCCCACCCCAACCACCACCCCCATCCCATCCCCAGCCCCCTGACCCCCACCCTCCCCATCACCCCATACCTGCACCAGCATCAAGAGGCCCCTTCTCCGCCCTGGCTCCACTCTCCCCATGCCCCTTCCTCTTGGCCATGGAGCACAGGTACCTCTGCAGGGCGGCTTTGCCACCCTCGGGTGCTCTGCCCTCCTTGGCCCCCTTGGTGGGGGCTGAAAAGGCCCTTTGGAACAGGGACCTGCGGGTGCTGCCTTTGGGTGCCCCCCCATTGGAGCTGCCCCGTCCCCCCCCATCATTGGGGCCATCAGCTTCAGGGTGGCTGTAGGAACGCTTCCACCCCTGCAAACGGCTCCAGCGGCGGCTGCCCGGGGACCCTGCGCCCCGCTCAGCACCCATGGGTGCTGCTGTTCGCCATCGGTAGCTCTTGAGGAGCGCTGGTGGCTCCGGTGCCAGTGGGGGCTTCTCCATCACCTCCATCTGTGGGATGGGGAGAGCCACGCTCCATGGGTGCCCTTAGCTGGGTGCCCCTAACCTGGTATCTGCACCCATCGGCCCCTATTTGGGTGCCCCATCCTAGTGTTCCTATTGGGGCATCTCCAACAAGGTACCCCCATCCAGGTACCCCCATCTGGGTGTCCTTATCAGGGTACCCCCATCCAGGTACCCACATCTGGGTACCCTCATCCAGACAATCACATCTGGGTGCCCATATCTGGGTATCCCCATCCAGGTACCCCCATCTGGGTGTCCTTATCTGGGTACCCCCATCCAGGTACCCACATCTGGGTGCCCTTATCTGGGTACCCCCATCCAGGTATCCACATCTGGGTGCCCTTATCTGGGTACCCCCATCCAGGTACCCACATCTGGGTGCCCTTATCTGGGTACCCCCATCCAGATACCCACATCTGGGTGCTATTATCTAGGTACCCCCATTCAGACAACCACATCTGGGTGCCCATATCTGGGTACCCCCATCCAGGTACCCACATCTGGGTGCCCTTATCTGGGTACCCCCATCCAGATACCCACATCTGGGTGCTATTATCTAGGTACCCCCATTCAGACAACCACATCTGGGTGCCCATATCTGGGTACCCCCATCCAGATACCCACATATGGGTGCCCTTGTTGGGGTACCCCTAACCTGGTATCTGCACCCATCAGCCCCTATTTGGGTGCCCCATCCTAGTGTTCCTACTGGGGCATCGCCACCAAGGTACCCCCATCCAGGTACCCACATCTGGGTGCCCTTATCTGGGTACCCCCATCCAGGTACCCGCATGTGGGTGCCCTTATCTAGGTACCCCCATCCAGGTACCCACATCTGGGTGTCCTTATCTGGGTATCCCCATATGGGCACCCCCATCCAGACATCCACATCTGGGTGCCCTTATCTGGGTACCCCCATATGGGCACCCCCATCCAGGCACCCACATCTGGGTGCCCTTATCTAGGTACCCCCATCCAGGTACCCACATCTGGGTGCCTTTATCTGGGTACCCCCATCCAGGGACCCCTACCTGGGTGCCCTCATACAAGCACCTCTATCCAGGCACCCATATCTGGGCACCCCCATTTAGGGGACCCTCATTCAGGGGTGTCCCTATCCAGTCACCTATAGGCACCCTATATGGCCCCCTATCCAGACACCCCAATTTGGTGCTCTGGGTGCCCACCTCCATCTGGGCACCCCAATTTGGGTGCTCTTCTCCCATCTTATGGGTGCCACATCCCTGGGGTGCCCATGGAGGGGTCCCCATCTGTGGGTGCCTGGGGTGCCCCTGGCCCTTGCAGCATCCACAGAGGTACCAGGGCTTGGTGACACCCACGACACGGTGACACCCAGAACTGTTGTGACACCCATGACAGGGTGACACCCATGACACAGTGACACCCAGAACTGTTGTGACACCCATAACACAGTGACACCCATAACACGGTGACACCCATGACAGGGTGACACCCACGGCACGGTGACACCCATGCAGGTGCCCTGTCACCACCCCAGCCCTGAGCACAAGCCGTCTCTTCCATCACCACAACAGCCTCATTTCCTCCCATCACCAGCCCCCCCCCCCCCAGCACCCCGGGGGTGCACCCATGGGTGACAGCACCCCCAACACCTCCTCATTGAGTGGGGGTGGCTTTGGCACCCACCCCCCCCTTGATTCAAGGACGGTGCCCAAACCTTGATGATGTGGGGGGGGGGGGCAGAGCATCACTTTTGGGGTGCCAGCACCCTCATCTGCAGCACCCATCACCCCTCGGGGTGTTGCTTCATCCCTCCCTCCCTCCCCAGCACCCTAAACACCCCCCCAAGGCTGCAGCATCACCCCTGGGTACCACCCCCTGTATCCCCCCCTTTGTCCCCCCCATGTCCCCCTCTTGTCGTGTGTCCCCCCCCCATCCCCGCGGTACCTCGGCTCCTCTCTGCCTCCTCCAGCACCCAGTTCCTGTCGTGGCTTCCCCATGTGACCCAGCAGGAGTTTCAGTCACACCCTCACCTCCGCCTCTGCCCCATGGGGATGCTGCTGATGCTCACGCCTGGGCCTCCTCCATGGGCCCTATGGGGTCTGGGGGCCCTATGGGGTCTGGGGGCCCTGGGGACCAGCTCCGGGTGTGTGGCTTTAGTGAACGGGTGCTGCTTTGATGCTGGGGAAGGGGGGGGATGTGGGTGCTCGTCTTAAAGGGGGGTTATGGAGGTTGGGGTCCTATGGGGTGGGCAATGGAAGTGATGCTCGGGGCACACCAACACCCTCTGAAGTCCTCTCCCATCACCCCATGGGCATTCTCCACCCCCCTGCCTCAGTTTCCCCCTCCAGGAACCACCCAAACCTGATGTCCTGGCACTGACTTTATTGGGGGGGGATTTAGGGTGCTTGGTGGCCATGGGGGGGTCTGCTGGGCTGGTGGGAGAAGGTCAGGATCTATACTGAATGGTGGGACCAGAACAGGATCCATCTGCAATGGTGGGATTCATTGGTGGGGTTCTTCTGGGCCAGGGTCCATCTGTGCTGGCATCCATCAGGCTGGGGTCCATCTAGACCAGGGCTGAGCGCTGATGGCATCCATTGGGTCTGGCTGGACCACGGTCCAACCATGGCACTGGTGTCCACCTGGGCCAAAGTCCATCCAGACCTGCATCCATGGCACCGGTGTTCATCCAGACCACGGTCCAACCATGGCACTGGTGTCCACCTGGACCAGGGTCCATCCAGACCTGCATCCATGGCACCGGTGTTCATCCAGACCACGGTCCAACCATGGCACTGGTGTCCACCTGGACCAGGGTCCATCCAGACCTGCATCCATGGCACCGGTGTTCATCCAGACCAGGGTCCAACCATGACACTGGTGTCCACCTAGACCGGGGCTGAGCGCTGATGGCATCCATTGGGTCTGTCTGGACCAGGGTCCAATCATGGCACTGGTGTCCACCTCAACCAGGGTCCATCCAGACCGGCATCCATCCAGACCAAGGTCCAATCATGGCACTGGTGTCCACCTGGACCAGGGTCCATCCAGACCAGTATCCATGGAACCGGTGTCCATCCAGACCAAGGTCCAACCATGGCACTGGTGTCCACCTGGGCCAAGGTCCATCCAGACCTGCATCCATGGCACCGATGTCCACCCAGACCAAGGTCCAACCACGGCACTGGTGTCCACCTGGACCAGGGTCCATCCAGACCTGCATCCATGGCACCGATGTCCATCCAGACCAAGGTCCAACCACGGCACTGGTGTCCACCTAGACCAGGGCTGAGCGCTGATGGCATCCATTGGGTCTGTCTGGAGCAGGGTCCAACCATGGCACTGGTGTCCACCTCAACCAGGGTCCATCCAGATTGGTATCCACGGCACTGGTGTCCATCCAGACAAAGGTCCAACCATGGCACTGGTGTCCACCTGGACCAAGGTCCATCCAGACTGGTATCCATGGCACTGGTGTCCATCCAGACCAAGGTCCAACCATGGCACTGGTGTCCACCTGGACCAAGGTCCATCCAGACCTGCATCCATGGAACCGGTGTCCATCCAGACCAAGGTCCAGCCATGGCACTGGTGTCCACCTGGGCCAAGGTCCATCCAGACCATCATCTGCATCACCAATGTCCATCCAGACCAAGGTCCAACCATGGCACTGGTGTCCACCTGGACCAGGGTCCATCCAGACTGGTATCCATGGAACCGGTGTCCATCCAGACAGAGGTCCAACCATGGCACTGGTCTCCACCTGGACCAGGGTCCATCCAGACTGGTATCCATGGAACCGGTGTCCATCCAGACCAGCATCCATGCACCGATGTCCATCCAGACCACCATCCATCCAATCTGGCCCCCATCAGACCAACATCTGTTGGACCGGGCTCCATCCAGACCATCACCCATTGGGCCAACACCCCTGTAGACCATGCTCCAACCTTACCCGCACCCTCCAGCCCAGGCCCCACGGTGCTGATCCTCACTGCAGAGGAGAGAAGAAGCCACCATCAGCATCCCCAACCGCTGGGGATGGAGCATGCACCCCAACCTCCAAGCCTTGGAGATGCCACCAAGGCCGGTGCTCACCTTGAAGCCGCTCCAGGTCTCAATCTCTCGGAACAAGGAGTTACCGGGACAGTCGGTGCGCCCCATCTGCCGGTGCCCCCGGAGGGTGTAGTTATGGTGGAGCCTCCCCGTCCTCACAGCGCAGGGCAGGAGCTGGTCCCTCACCAGGGCGATGGTGTCCGGGTCAGGTAAGGTGCTGGTGAAGTCTCCAACGTACCCCACGCCGTATCCTTTGCTGTTGTAGCCTTTGGTGTGGGCACCGACCCAATGCCACCCTCGGCCTTGGTACAGGTACCCATCGGAGCCCACCACGAAGCTGGAAAGCATCCATTGGGCATCACGAGGTGCTTGGTGATGGGTGGTGGGACCATGGTTGGTGCTGATGGGACCATGGTTGGTGGTGATGGCAATGGGACCATGGTTGGTGGTGATGGGACCATGGTTGGTGGTGATGGCGATGGGACCATGGTTGGTGGTGATGGCGATGGGACCACGGTTGGTGGTGATGGGTGATGGGACCATGGTTGGTGGTGATGGGTGATTGGGCCATGGTTGGTGGTGATGGGTGAAGGGACCATGGTTGGTGGTGATGGCGATGGGACCATGGTTGGTGGTGATGGGACCATGGTTGGTGGTGATGGGACCATGGTTGGTGGTGATGGTGATGGGACCATGGTTGGTGGTGATGGGACCATGGTTGGTGGTGATGGGCGATGGGACCATGGTTGGTGGTGATGGTGATGGGACCATGGTTGGTGCTGATGGGACCATGGTTGGTGCTGATGGGTGATGGGACCATGGTTGGTGCTGATGGGACCATGGTTGGTGCTGATGGGACCATGGTTGGTGGTGATGGGACCATGGTTGGTGCTGATGGGTGATGGGACCATGGTTGGTGCTGATGGGACCATGGTTGGTGCTGATGGGACCATGGTTGGTGCTGATGGGACCATGGTTGCTGGCGCTGGGCTCTCACCTGTACCCGATGTCGTCCCAGCCGCGCGTGTCCTGGTGGAAGCGCTGCATGGAGCGCATGGCGCGGGCGCAGGAGCGGAAGCTGTGGCACGGGGCGCTGGGGATGAACGTGTGGTGGATGAAGACCGACTCCAAGGGCAAGGTCAAGGCTCTGGGGGTGCCCCGGTAGGGACGGGCTCCCCACATGCAGCGGGGCACGATGGGCGGGCACTCTGCGAGGGAAGGGGACATGGAGCATCTCCTTAGGGGACATGGAGCATATCCTTAGGGGCATGGGGACATAGAGCATCTCCATGGGGTCATGGAGCATCTCCTTAGGGGACATGGGGACATGGAGCATCTCCTTAGGAGCATGGAGCATCTCCTTAGGGGCATGGGGACATGGAGCATCTCCTTGGGGACATCAGGACATGGAGCATCTCCTTGGGGACATGGGGACATAAAGCATGTCCATGGGGTCATGGGGACATGGAGCATCTCCTTGGGGACATGGGGACATGGAGCATCTCCATGGGGACATGGAGCATCTTCTTAGGGACATGGGGACATGGAGCATCTCCATGGGGACATGGACCATCTCCTTGGGGACATGGGGACATCGAGCATCTCCTTAGGGGCATGGGGACATGGAGCATCTCCATGGGGTCATGGGGACATGGAGCATCTCCATGGGGACATGGGGACATGGAGCATCTCCATGGGGTCATGGGGACAAGGACCATCTCCTTAGGGACATGGGGACATGGAGCATCTCCTTGGGGACATAGGGACAAGGACATCCTTAGGGACATGGCGCATCTCCTTAGGATATGAAACTTCTCCTGGGGGCTTGAGGACATGGAGCATGTCCTTGGGGATATGGGGACATGGTGCATCTCTATGGGGACATGGGGACATGGAGCATCTCCTTGGGGACATGGGGACATGAAGCATCTCCTTAGGGACATGAAGCTTTTCCTGGGGGCTTGGGGACATGGAGCACGTCCTTGGGGATATGGGGACATGGAGCATCTCCATGGGGACATGGGGACATGGAGCATCTCCTTAGGACATGGAGCATCTCCATGGGGACATGGGGACATGGAGCATCTCCTTAGGACATGGAGCATCTCCATGGGGACATGGGGACATGGAGCATCTCCTTGGGGACATGGGGACATGGAGCATCTCCTTAGGACATGGAGCATCTCCATGGGGACATGGGGACATGGAACATCTCCTTAGGGACATGAAGCTTTTCCTGGGGGCTTGGGGACATGGAGCATCTTGAGAAGTGAATGACACATGGAAGTGGCTTCCTGGGGTCCCTGCACCTAAAGGACATGGAGCATCTGCTGAGGGGTCCCTTGGCTGGTGGCCACCCAGGGGACACTTCGGTGCCCATCCAGAGGACAAAGCAGTGCCCAGAGACCCATTATGCTGGGAACACATTGGTGGCCATCCAGGGGACATGGTGGTGGCCATCAGGAGGATACATCAGTGTCCATCCAGAGGACAAAGCAGTGCCCAGGAACCCATTATCCATAGGACACCAATGTCCATCCAGAAGACATGATGGTGTCCATCAAGGAGGCACACCAATGTCCATCCATGGATCACACCAATGCTCATCCAGGTACCACACCATTGTCCATCCATGGACCACATCGATGTCCAACCACGGACCACACTGATGTCCATCCATGGACCAACCTGATGTCTATCCATGGACCACACCAATGTCCATCCATGGACCACATCAATGTCCGTCCATGGACCACATCAATGTCCATCCATAAGACATGGTGGTGTCCATCAAGGAGGCACACTGATGAACATCCATGGACCACACCAGTGTCCATCCATGGACCCCATCAATGTCCATTCATAAGACATGGTGGTGTCCATCAAGGAGGCACACTGATGAACATCCATGGACCACACCAATGTCCATCCATGGACCACACCAGTGTCCATCCATGGACTACACCAATGTCCATCCATAAGACATGGTGGTGTCCATCAAGGAGGCACACCAATGTCCATCCATGGACCACACCAATGTCCATCCATGGACCACATCAATGTCCGTCCATGGACCACATCAATGTCCATCCATAAGACATGGTGGTGTCCATCAAGGAGGCACACCGATGTCCGTCCATGGACCACACCGATGTCCATCCATGGACCACACCGATGTCCATCCATGGACCACACCAATGTCCATCCATGGACCACATCAATGTCCATCCATGGACGACACCAATGTCCATCAATGGACCACATCAATGTCCATCCACAAGACATGGTGGTGTCTATCAAGGAGGCACACCGATGTCCGTCCATGGACCACACCGATGTCCATCCATGGACCATACCAATGTCCATCCATGGACCACACCGATGTCCATCAATGGACCACATCAATGTCCATCCATGGACCACATCAATGTCCATCCATAAGACATGGTGGTGTCCATCAAGGAGGCACACCAATGTCCATCCATGGACCACACCAATGTCCATCCATGGACCACACCGATGTCCATCCATAAGACATGGTGGTGTCCATCCATGGACCACACCAGTGTCCATCCATGGCCCACACCGATGCCCATCCAGTGTCCCACCATCCCAGGCCGCATGTGAGCACCCATCACTCCCTTTAGTACCCATTGGGGACCCCCATCCCACCCAACCTCCATTGGGGCTCAAAGCCCTCCCATCACCCCCTCCCTACCCACGTAGAGCTGGGTGAAGTCCCGCGCCGCCCGGCCCGCGATGGCCGCCGCCTCCTCCGGTCCCACACCCTTCAGGAGCTCCCTTGTGGGTGGCAGCACCCTCAGCACCCTCAGCATCGCCTCCACCTCCTGCTCCAGCTTCTCCGGCCCCATCAGCACCCCAAAGTCTCGCCGCCGGTAGCTGCTGCGGGGTCTCCTTTGCTCCGTGGTGTTGCCCATCCCATAGTAACCCCGGAGCAGCTCAGCCAACGGGATGGGTGCTTGGGACACTTGGGCACCCAAGAGCACCCCATCCATAGCCCCATTGGCGACGGCGTCAGGGATGGGTGACGGCGGTCCCGAGAGGGTGTAGTTTTGGGGGTCATCCACATCGTCCCAACAGCCCCCGGGTCCCAGTGTGGCTCCATCGCCACCGCGAGCCAAGAGGAACGACAGCCCCAAGGCCTCGGTGATGGTCACGGCGTAAAGGGGGTCAATGGGGGGCTCAAAGGTGGGGAAGGGCCACCCCGACACCCGCTTTTGGCCCACCTCAATGCCGGCGAGGAGGGGACCAAGGGCCACGGTGGAGCCATCAGGTGCCAGCACCACGGCGTCGCGGTGCAGGAGGTGGGTGAGGAGCACCCATTGGTGTTGGCTGAGCGCCGGTGGGACCGGGGGGGGCTCCCCCAGCACCGCGCGGCACCCATGGGTGCTGCAGGCACCCAGCGCCCGCGCCAGCTCCGGGAGGGTGAGGTTGGGGCTGTTGGAGTCGAGGGTTTCCATGAGCTCAAGCACGGAGTCCATGCGGCGCGGGGGGAGACCTGCAGGGGGAATGGGGTACAGGGGGAGCACCCATGGGGGGCTGGGGGGGAAGGGAAGGGGGGAGCATCCGGTGGGATGAGGGAGGGGGGATGGACACGAAACGGGGGGGGGAAGGATGCAAAAGAGGGTGAAAAGACCCAAAACAGGGGGGAAAGGACCCAAAATAGGAGGAGAGGTTCCAAAATGGGGTGAATGGACCCAAACTGGGGTGAGAAGACCCAAAAGAGGGTGAAAAGACCCAAAACAGGGGGGAAAGGACCCAAAATAGGAGGAGAGGTTCCAAAATGGGGTGAATGGACCCAAACTGGGGTGAGAAGACCCAAAAGAGGGTGAAAAGACCCAAAACAGGGGGGAAAGGACCCAAAATAGGAGGAGAGGTTCCAAAATGGGGTGAATGGACCCAAACTGGGGTGAGAAGACCCAAAAGAGGGAAAAGGATGCAAAAGAGGGTAAAAAGACCCAAAACAGGTGGGAAAGGACCCAAAGTAGGATGAGAGCTCCCAAAACAGGGTGAATGGACCCCAAACTGGGGTGAGAGGACCCAAAAGAGGGTGAAAGGCCCCAAAAGAGGAGAAAGGATGCAAAAGAGGGTGAACAGACCCAAAACAGGGGGGAAAGGACCCAAAATAGGATGAGAGGTTCCAAAACAGGGTGAATGGACCCAAACTGGGGTGAGAGGAACCAAAAGAGGGAAAAGGATGCAAAAGAGGGTGAAAAGACCCAAAACAGGGGAGAAAGGACCCAAAAGAGGATGAGAGCTTCCAAAATGGGGTGAATGGACCCAAACTGGGGTGAGAGGACCCAAAAGAGGAGAAAGGCCCCAAAAGAGGTGAAAGCACCCGGAATAGGGGAGAAAATACCCAGAAAAGGGCAAATGCACCCAAAAGAGGGTGAAGGCACGCAGAGCAATGGGGTAACCGTCCAGAGGAGGGCGCAAGCACCCCGGAAAAGGGTGAATGCACCTAAAACAGGGCGAAACCACCCCAAAACAGGGTGAAACCATCCCGAAACAGGGCGAAACCACCCCAAAACAGGGTGAAACCATCCCGAAACAGGGCGAAACCACCCCAAAACAGGGCGAAACCACCCCAAAACAGGGTGAAACCACCCCAAAAAGTGTGAAACCCCCCCGAACAGGGTTGAAACCACCCCAAAAGGAGTGAAACCACCCCAAAACTGAGTGAAACCACTCCAAAACAGAGTTGAAATCACCCAAAACGGGGTTGAAACCACCCCAAAACAGGGTTGAAACCACCCTAAAAAGGGTGAATCCACCCAAAACGGGGTTGAAACCACCCCAAAACAGATATGAAACCACCCAAAACGGGGTGAAACCACCCCAAAACGGGGTTGAAACCACCCATAACGGGGTGAAACCACCCCAGAACGGGGTGAAACCACCCCAAAACAGGATTGAAACCACCCCAAAACAGGTATGAAACCACTCAAAAAGGGGTGAAAACACCCCAAAACAGATATGAAACCACCCAAAACAGGGTGAAACCACCCCAAAACGGGGTTGAAACCACCCATAACGGGGTGAAACCACCCCAGAACGGGGTGAAACCACCCCAAAACAGGATTGAAACCACCCCAAAACAGATATGAAACCACCCAAAACAGGGTTGAAACCACCCAAAAAGGGGTGAAACCACCCCAAAAGGAGTGCATCCACCCAAAACGGGGTTGAAACCACCCCAAAACAGGATTGAAACCACCCCAAAATAGGTATGAAACCACTCAAAAAGGGGTGAAAACACCCCAAAATGGGGTTGAAACCACCCCAAAACAGGGTTGAAACCACCCAAAATGGAGTGAAGCCCCCGAAAAGGGGTGAAACCACCCAAAACGGGGTTGAAACCACCCCAAAACAGGGGTAACACCCCCAAACCAGGGCAGAGGCACCCAACCCAAGGGCTCCTGCACCCATCCCCAGCACCCATCCCCCAGTACCCCCGTTCCCCCCCCCCCATGGGCACAGATTTGGGCTGGAATCCCCCAGCTTAGGGCAAATCACAGCAAGCAGAGCCTGCCAGGGGCCGCTGCCCTTGGCACACGTGTGTGGAGGCGTGTTGGGGCATGTTAGAGCGTGTGCTTGCCACTGGGGTGTGGTGGGAGCTATTGAGAGATGCTGAGGCCTGTTGAGGCGTGTTGTGAGGTGGGGTGGGGTGCTTTAGGGTGTTATGGGGTGCTTTAGCATGTTATGGGGGGCTTTAGGGTGTTATGGGGTGCTTTAGCATGTCATGGGGTGCTTTAGTGTGTTGTGGGGTGCTTTTAGCGTGTCATGGGGTGCTTCAGCATGTTAAGGGGTGCTTTAGCATGTTATGAGGTGTTTTAGCATGTTAAGGGGTGCTTTAGCATGTTATGGGGTGCTTTAGCATGTTATGGGGTGTTTTAGCATGTTAAGGGGTGCTTTAGCATGTTATGGGGTGCTTTAGCGTGTTACAGGGTGCTTTAGCATGTTATGGGGTGCTTTAGCATGTTATAGGTTGCTTCAGCGTGTTATAGGGTGCTTTAGCATGTTATAGGGTGTTTTAGCATGTTATCGGGTGCTTTAGCATGTTGTGGGGTGCTTTAGCATGTTATGGGGTGCTTTAGCACGTTATGGGGTGCTTTAGCATGTTGTGGGGTGCTTTAGCGTGTTATGGGGTGCTTTAGCATGTTAAGGGGCTCTTTAGCATGTTATGGGGTGCTTTAGCGTGTTACAGGGTGCTTTAGCTTGTTACGGGGTACTTTAGCATGTTATGGGGTGCTTTAGCATGTTATGGGGTGCGTTAGCATGTTATGGGGTGCTTTAGCGTGTTATGGGGTGCTTTAGCATGTTATGGGGTGCGTTAGCATGTTATGGGGTGCTTTAGCATGTTAAGGGGTGCGTTAGCATGTTATGGGGTGCTTTAGCATGTTATGGGGTGCTTTAGCATGTTATGGGGTGCTTTAGCATGTTATGGGGGGCTTTAGGGTGTTATGGGGTGCTTTAGCACGTTATAGCGTGCTTTAGCATGTTATGGGGTTCTTTAGCATGTTATAGGGCGCTTTAGCATTTTATGGGGTTCTTTAGCATGTTATGGGGTGCTTTAGCATGTTATGGGGTGCTATAGCATGTTATGGGGTGCTTTAGCATGTTATGGGGTGCTTTAGCATGTTAAGGGGTGCTTTAGCATGTTATGGGGTGCTTTAGCATGTTAAGGGGTGCTTTAGCATGTTATGGGGTTCTTTAGCGTGTTATGGGGTGCTTTAGCATGTTAAGGGGTGCTTTAGCATGTTATGGGGTTCTTTAGCGTGTTATGGGGTGCTTTAGCATGTTAAGGGGTGCTTTAGCATGTTATGGGGTGCTTTAGCATGTTAAGGGGTGCTTTAGCATGTTATGGGGCTCTTTAGCATGTTGTGGCGTGCCGAGGCGTGTCCCTACCTGTGCCAGGGCGGGCGCACACGCTCAGCACCAGGAGCAGCCTCAGGACCATGCTGCAGCCGCACCACCGGGTCCTTGCCGTGCGCCGGCTCCGTGGCACCGGACTTTGGCCCCACCAAGGGCACCGGGGCGGGGACACGGCTGGCACATGCGTGTGCTAGGAGGGGCCGAGGGAGGGGCTACGCGTGTGCATGCACTGTATGGGGGTGTATGCGCACATGGGTGTCTGCGTACATGCACACGCGTGTGCTAGGAGGGGCCAGGGAGGGGCTACGCGTGTGCATGCACATGTATGGGGGTGTATGCGCACATGGGTGTCTGCGTACATGCACACGCGTGTGCTAGGAGGGGCCGAGGGAGGGGCTACGCGTGTGCATGCACATGTATGGGGGTGTATGCGCACATGGGTGTCTGCGTACATGCACACGCGTGTGCTAGGAGGGGCCTAGGGAGGGGCTACGCGTGTGCATGCACATGTATGGGGGTGTATGTGCACATGGGTGTCTGCGTACATGCACACGCGTGTGCTAGGAGGGGCTACGCGTGTGCATGCACATGTATGGGGGTGTATGCGCACATGGGTGTCTGCGTACATGCACACGCGTGTGCTAGGAGGGGCTACGCGTGTGCATGCACATGTATGGGGGTGTATGCGCACATGGGTGTCTGCGTACATGCACACGCGTGTGCTAGGAGGGGCCGAGGGAGGGGCTACGCGTGTGCATGCACATGTATGGGGGTGTATGTGCACATGGGTGTCTGCGTACATGCACACGCGTGTGCTAGGAGGGGCCGAGGGAGGGGCTACGCGTGTGCATGCACATGTATGGGGGTGTATGCGCACATGGGTGCGTACATGCACACGTGTGCTAGGAGGGGCCGAGGGAGGGGCTACGCGTGTGCATGCACATGTATGGGGGTGTATGTGCACATGGGTGTCTGCGTACATGCACACGCGTGTGCTAGGAGGGGCCGAGGGAGGGGCTACGCGTGTGCATGCACATGTATGGGGGTGTATGCGCACATGGGTGCGTACATGCACACGCGTGTGCTAGGAGGGGCCGAGGGAGGGGCTACGCGTGTGCATGCACATGTATGGGGGTGTATGCGCACATGGGTGTCTGCGTACATGCACACGCGTGTGCTAGGAGGGGCCGAGGGAGGGGCTACGCGTGTGCATGCACATTATGGGGGTGTATGCGCACATGGGTGTCTGCGTACATGCACACGCGTGTGCTAGGAGGGGCCGAGGGAGGGGCTACGCGTGTGCATGCACTGTATGGGGGTGTATGCGCACATGGGTGTCTGCGTACATGCACATGCGTGTGCTAGGAGGGGCCGAGGGAGGGGCTACGCGTGTGCATGCACTGTATGGGGGTGTATGCGCACATGGGTGTCTGCGTACATGCACACGCGTGTGCTAGGAGGGGCCGAGGGAGGGGCTACGCGTGTGCATGCACTGTATGGGGGTGTATGTGCACATGGGTGCGTACATGCACACGCGTGTGCTAGGAGGGGCCGAGGGAGGGGCTACGCGTGTGCATGCACATGTATGGGGGTGTATGCGCACATGGGTGTCTGCGTACATGCAC